TGCCAAAGCAATCCGACTTCGGGCATTCATCTTCTTTCAGGACAGACTTACTCTACGGAAGTATGGTGTCTCCTTTCGTGACGATAGTTGGCGCCCCGTTTGACATCAAATTTGTTGCACCAGCATTACTCACGTTTCATTAGCCCTCAACTGGTATTTTTATTCCTGATGCTCTTCAAGCTCTGGGATCTTTATGATCTGGGTAAATGGAACCCCGATATGAGGGACCGCACACGATGACCGAGAACTAATAGCTCTGTTTGGAAGGTCAGAAGGCAGTGGCTGAATGTAGAATGTATCCAAGAACAAACGCATCAAAAACGTTTTTTTTTTGTTACCATAACAGCAGGTTTACCAAAAGGCACGAAATGGCGAACAGGCAACTTTTACTTCTTTGACCGCTCAAAAGTCATGAAAATTTGCAAGCCTTGTGTTCTGTGTGCACATTCATCAATGCTTTGTTGCGTTTTTCAACGCCTGCGCATAAGGGAACCTTTCTTGAAAGAAAAGTTCCCTTATGTATTCCGTTGTGTTTCAAGTTTCCGTGTTATGTATTCTCTGCTTCTTGAAAGTGTTGCCGAACAGGTGGCATGGTTCTATGTCTACTCCAAAATGGCTTCCCTACAGGCCTCACGGGTAAAATTTGCTTGGAGTTGTCATGGTCACTGTTTGTGGCATAGCCAGGATTTCGCCAATTAAGCGTTAAGCGGAAAGGTGGAGGGGCTTACTCAATCTCTTTTCTGCAGAAATCACAAGCTGGAGCGTGAATCTCGAGAAACAAAAAGGTCAAATCGCATTGCATGACCCTCGTTCACTAACTATTGTCACTCCCCTATTTCTTCTTCAGCTCTCATGTGCAGGTCTCTCTTCTACGGATGATTCGAGGTGAAAAAGCAAGTTTGACAAAGCTTAGTCTCGTAACAACTATCCTTTCAATTAAATCTCTTTTAAAATACAGACTAAATAAGGTAGGATTAGAAGATTGAAGGGAGGAAAAGAAATATTCTAATGCCAGAAAACTGTTTGCTTAGAAACGGTTGATGATTGGCATGGCCACCATCCCGCTGCCATGCTCTCCTATGCGAGCATAGTAATTTTATATTCAATATATATTTGTATTTTGTTATTTTTCGCTAAATTATTTTATTTCTTTAGGTCTGGCGACAATTTCTTACATCTTTAAAAATTTTTGTTCCCGCATATTACAACGAATCTCTGCGTTGACAGACAAACCTAGGCAGCTGGGCATTACGTAATCACCATCATTTCTTCACGGAAACAGGCGCTCGCTAAAATTACATTAACGATGTCAGGTGGCCCTGGCAAGCCTCACTTGCCTGATATTTCACCAATGAAATGGAACGGAAAGAAAAGTAATATCCCTTGGTTCCTCTGGGGGGACTATGGAACTACAGGAGTCCATGTACTTGATGCGTTTGCACGTCAGCAATATATTAGCATTCGACACAGCCGGGATCATAGGATCCCAGATTTCAGAAGAAGGCGAAATACTTGAAGCGATAGCGCCTGAAACAGGAATAATATGTAAATGAGATGATCCTCACAAGTTGTTCGATGTTTTCAGGCTGGTTCCCGACAGGGACCTTGGTCATACCAGGCAAATCGACCAGAGTGAGCTGAAGAACTGTTAACGAAAGTCATATGCGAGAAGCAGATCCAAGTCTAGGATCGCTCAGTGGATGACGGAATCGACATTACCATGAGGGGAATAGAGCCTGAGGTTGATGGGTTTGGAGGAGATGGCCTTGTCCGCTGCTTCCTTGTCTGTTGCCGCAACAATCTCTTTCCTCACTTCCGCGAAATCAGTGAACCTCTCATCCGGCAGGTGCGAAAACTCCAAGTACTCTGTGGAAAACATATACAATGTAGTCAAGTTGTAAGGAAACCGTATATTTTTATTTAAAATTGATTCAATGTTGATAATAATGGCTTGTTCTGCGCTGGTAATATTTACCTCTTCATGCCACAGAACCAAAACTGAGATGGACGCAATAAAGTGAGATTCCCTTTCTCAAGAAAGATTTTTAAAGGGTCAAAAGTTTTTAACTACTTGAGTGAAGGGAAACTCACGCAGAAACAAAAATTCACAAAATAATTAATGAGGAGTGGAGTAATGGACGAGTACAATCAGATGTAACATTGAAGCGCATCTTAAGAGCTGATGCTATAATAGAAAAGTCAGTATAATAAGACATGGGCGCATGATGAGACTGTTTCCCGGGGCACACTAAATGGCACAACCCCATATCAACATCAATTGGCCACATGCATGTACTTGCATCTTGGCATTTTGAAATTGTGAAGACCTTTACGCATGACATCAGCATCTCGACAGTAGTTCCTTCATGAAAAAATCTGTTCATAAAAAGTGAACGCGTGGAATGAGAGTAATTATTGCTGACATGCTCCCGATTGCAAATTTATTTCTAGTCTAGAAGTCGCTGTAGATTTCCAATAATGAAGTGACTGGTAGGAGTTCGCGCAGGAATAGAGGAACCACTAGAAACCTAATACCTTCGCTGCTTGGTATCATTTGAAGGATGAGCGGACATCTTGTAACAACGCCAATACCCCGAGGCAGAAAGTCCCTGCAGGATATACGATGACACACGCAAATTATAAGGTCGATTGATAGGGCAGCTGAATGGCCGCAAGCGAAGAGGTAAGGTATTGCACACGTACCTGCCAGCGACGGCCTCGAGTACGGAAGACTTGCCAGCGCTCTGTCCGCCGATGACGGCGATCATGGGAAGCTGAAGATTGAGACTGGAAGAGGTGGTGGCGAAGGCATCTTGGAGCTTGTTTATCATCATCACTAGATCCTCCATCTCCGTGTTCCCCGTCATCCTGATGGATGTTCAACTCTTTACAACTCTTTTCAAGCGTTTTTCCTCCCCTTTTCTTGCTGGACTCCTGTCTGTGCAAACCACCTGTTGAAGACCGATGTCCCGTAAAGTCAGGCCAGAGAATCGTGTTCCCACACGAGTCTGACTCAGTTTTGCACCAAAATGTTTTGAATAGGGCCTGTTCCAAAATCTATGGACTAAGAACTATAGTGGGCGACCCCTCTTGGATGGGGCTTTCTCCTTCGAAAACCCCCCAGGTGTGGCCAACCAGGTTGGGAAAAGAAACTATTCCCCACAACCCGGAATATTTAAACTTTAATTTTGCTGGAGCGATTTTGCGTTGAGAGGGTAAGAAATTAACAAAATTCCGTTGCACTTGGTGCTTTCAGAGAGGAATGTGAGGAATTTCCGAAACGGGAAGGGGTTGAAGAAAGGTAATATGGCCAGTTTTAGTCAGACACCATGGTGCCTGTTAAATTCTCAAATGAAAAATATGGCTTATAGTGCTGTGAAGGCTTCCATTATGATCGCATGAACAAGAATATTAAGAAGGGAAGTAGGGGAAAGTCCCACTGAAGTAAATGTAGAATAGTCCCTATGAATAGTAGAATAGTCCGTCCGATTATCATTCGGTTTTCTGATATATGCGGCACCCACCTAAAGCCCGCAGCACACAATTCAATTTTCGTTGCTCCACCGTCGTGCGACCGTTGCACACATTAGGCCCCACACACGGAGCAATCTGCAAGCAATTGGATGGGCAATGCGGACCTAAATTTAAGGAAGCTTCTGTATTAAGATTTTTGGTGGTAATGTGATTGGTCGATGCTAGAATTTGGCCGGGTATACATGGCAGCGACATCGCCGGACCCCCGCACACGGAGCAACGGTCGAGCGACGGCAATATTTATCGCCAAATTATTGAGCAGAGAGCAATATGCTGGCGACTGACGATGGTCGCGCGATCATCCGCAGCACCCTCGCACACGGACGTACATATACTGTATTTGGAGAGGCGGTCGCGTGACAGTATAACAAACATTTCCTTGTGTGCCGCGGGCTAATGAGGTGGTAATGAGGGTGAGAAGTGGGAAGGGTCAATCAAATCGTCTAACCCAAACCCGAGGACGACTTCGCCCTTTTCTTAGAGGGAGGGGGAGAAGAAGGTAAGATGCCGCCTGTCTGCCCCGTATGCCTCTTCTTTTTAGAATTTTTGGAAGTAAAGGGTTGAAAGGAGAGTTTGCTCCGCCTCTGGTTTCCTTCTTCATTTCCACTCTCCCCTCATCCAGCTTTCCCTTCTGTCCCAGAACCGCCTCACACGCTAACGTCTTCCTTTGTACATCTCTCTCGACTCGCGATTGAAAGTAATGCACTTCTACACCAGCCAAGACGACTTTTAAATGCAGAAAGTCCACCATGCACGCCGTCTCCGATTGCATTCCCTAGCCTCGTGGATCCTCCACGTGCTCTTGCCCACCGCATCGAAGTCAGAAATGAAGGAATTCCGAGGGACGGTCGCCCCGGGCCCGACGCGACGGGGATCCACATTTCCCCGAGCGGCCTGGTGCCGCGATCGAGTGGCCGTGGGAACGAAGCCACTCGCTCTTATTGGGATTTCGAAGGAAACTTTTATCTGATTGGAAAGAAAGTTCTCGGAATTTCTTGAATATCCAGTACAATTTTTTTTCCAGAGCATGCAAGTAGGACATCTCGCGTTATTCTT